TTGGAGATGAGTTGTGTCTTTTATAGAACAATCGTTTTCATGTGTCAGCTTTCCAGTCTTCAAACCGTATTTCATGTTTACAAACCCCATTCCAGTCCCGATATTTTGTGCTTAGCCCTCACCAAGGGGGTAAAAACAACAATGCTTCCTGCCGGCTGGGAGATTTTGCAGCAGGGTGGGGACTCCCCGGGGTCTTGTCCCAAGGACCGTTGACAGAGCATTCACAGTGTGCTGCGGATGAAGACCGAGTGCCAACGAGAGAGGAGAGGGTTCCTGTGGGTTCGTGTGTGTCTTTGGGTGTTGGGGGGAGGAGCACGTATGTGGGAAAGCATCCACCTGTGTCCTGCGGCCTGGCAGTCCTCAGAAACTGCCGGGGCATTGATTGATCCGGCAATGCCGCTGCGGTGGGCTGTGGCAGGAAGTGGCCCGGCGCTGCCTCTCCAGGTTTGCGTTTGTGGTTAGTGCCCAGAAGCGAGCACCAGGGACTCTGGCGCCGGGTGTCCTCGAACCCTGGGAGCTGGGAACCCACCTCCCTCTGCGCACAGGGAGCAGCCGATGCCGCCCTTGCCCCCCGAGCAAGCCTTGTGATTCTGCACAAACCATGCTTATCCAACCTCAAGTCTGTGGGGTCTCCCCCCCGCCCCCCGGGGAGGAGTGGGACTTCTGGATTTTTATCTGTTCGTGTTAGGTATTTATTTCACATGGATTGAATGTGTCTGTACCGTCAACATTGGGCATCCCGGCGCCCCCTCCCAAGAAATAAGATGATCCATTTAAAAACAGGGTCACACCGACACACACACCCACCCCTGCCCCCTGCCTGGCATTAAATGGTGGTGCCCGATTGGAAGTAGGGCCCTGAGTGCTTCCAGAAACCCCCTGCTGGGAATCTTGTTCCCCGTGGCCACCCTGAAAGGCCACCTTTTATTGATGTACGATGGAGGAAAGGCCACCACTCAGGCCACGGTGGTCCAAGTCCCCCGTGGCACTTCGGCTGATAAAGGGAGACAGTGGAGAGCATCCCGAGGCTGGGTGGTCCGCTGCCCCGGGAGTTCACTCACGGAAACCCGCCATGCTGGTGGAAGGTGACCGGGGGTGGCAGTGGGTGCCGCAGGGCGGCTCAGGAGTCAGTGTGTCCCGGCACTCTGAATTATTTATGTTCCTGGGAACAATTTAATACCCTTTGGGTCACGAGGCACCCCTGGTTCCTGTCCCGTATTTCTCCTCTATATTTAATTAGCTCCCACTGGACATGGAAGTGGCCCTGTAGCTCCTCCAGTGGTGTCCGCTGTGCCCCTCATTCCTGTTCCTGCAGTGGAGCGAATGCCCCTCACCTGGCCTGGTGTCCTCATAGCTGACCAAGGCTTAGAGGTGCCTCAGAGGTATGAGAGGTGAGGCACAAGCCCTGGGAGCAGCCTCCCTCTGTTTAAGTTCTGCACCCCAGTATCCTCCTAGCACAGTAGACAGCCAGAGCCTAGAGAGGGGGTGCATTCCTCTGAGGCATCATTAGCAGGAAAAGTTACCTGCCTGAGGCAGCGGGACTCGAGGGGGCAGGCATTTTTGCCGAAGAACTGCCAAGGAACTATCATCTTGAAGGTGGTGGGGAGTTTAAAGACGGCCCCTATAGGCCCTGGAGGGCAATTGGTATTTGTCCCCAGTGCTGTTTTCTGGCGATAAGCCTCAGCCAAGGTCTGGATTTTCCATGCGCTAGCCTCAGAACCTGCCCTGACGCAAGCAGAGCGGAGGGATGGCCGAGCAGAGAGAAGGCGGTGATTTGAGGGAGTCGTCCCCCCCACCCCTCCGCGTCGGTTCACTCAAGACAAAGCAGCCCCGGACTCGATCCGTCACTGCCCAACGCTCACTTTCTCCACGTCTGATTTACAGGAACAGGAATGGCATCCAGTGGAGCAAAGGGAGAAAGTGCTTCCTAGGTCAAGGGCAGCAGGGTACAAAGTGCTTCCTGCTCTGGGATGGGCCAAAGCCTGCGAGGCTTCCAGATGCCTCTCCAGCTCCTGCCGACCCGAGAGGGTCCGGTGGGGCTCTTTCCAGAGCACAGACTCCCGGGACCAGCGGAGTGCTGGCTTAGCAGGCCGAGAGGCAGGTAGTGGAGACGAGGAGGAGGCAGCCCTGACTTGCTGGCCGGGCCCTGTGTGCTGTGGGTCTGTTGGTAATGCACAGACTGTTGACAGACCCAGGCTGACTTGCTCAACTGCTCTGCTGTCCTCTGGCCGTTGGGAAAGTGAGGTCTGAGGGAAGGAAGGACGTGGCCTTGTGGGATGGGCTCGGACGCTTGTACTGAATCTGGATAGGTGCCTCAGCCTCTGGCTTGGCTGTGATCTTGGACTGTCAGGACGCGGCCCGGCCCTGCCTCCCTCTCCGTTTGCTACAGACGTCCTTTGTCCTCTGAGCATCTCTCAATTCATCTCGGCAGGTGTGAAAATCCTGAACTCACTGGCCAGGGAGGCGTTTGAAACACTTGCCTTCCTTCGTGTAGAAACTGCCTGTGGGAGGGACTGCCCTCCATCTACGGCTCCCTCTGGTAGCTGTGTCTAGGGAGAGCGAGGGTCCCTTTCCTTCAGCCCCTTTGGACCCCACGTGTGCTCTGCTCCCAGGCTTGAAGCCGAGGCCTGGGCCTCCCTAGGTTTCGTCATCCGTCGTCTGCCTCATTCAGACGTGCGCTCTCCGCCTTCTCCTATGGCCTGCCCAGTTTTTCTGAGACCATCAACACAATAGTAGAGACCCATTAAGAACAGTAAAGAAAAATTTACCCACAAGCCCATGAGTTCGAATCCGTGGGGTGTAGGTTGGGGACCCTTGAACGGTGTGTCTGTTTCATGGGACAGGTGAGCTGCTGCCCCACATTTGGATGCTCAGATTTTGGCTTGGCTGACTGACTCCACAGACCCACGGAGGTGGCCTTCTTCTGTTGGGTTCGGACAGGTGATTCATGGTGGTCAGACCAGCTTCAGGTGAGCTCTTCATCCTGCTTGGACTTGGGGGTGGGGGCTGCTGTCAGAACTTTCCTGGTTCTGGTTTAGGTGGAAGAACTTGTCTCAGACTTCCTTCATCAGCTTTGTGGATAGGATTCAGGCCAAGGGCCAGCGTTCCCTTTATAACCTTGGGCCTCAGAGAAGGTGTGGGGTGAGATTCTGACTGTGGTCTGTCTGGTGGTCTTGCTTGCAGCAGGAAGGACTCTGTCGGCCTCATCCTTGACTGAAGCTACTGAGACCTAGTAAGAAATGTGGACAGTGGAAAGAGGCAGAGACAGGGCCAGGCTGGCAGCTTCCCTGCTCAGGGCCTGGGGCTCCTTCCTGCCTTGGCCAGATCCTGACCACAGGCCTTGAGAGTGTCACTCTGGGCCCCAGCGGAGGAGGGCCAGGGCAGGAGACCGGGGGCACCTCTTTCACTCCATTTAAAAGCGCGTCTTCAAATCCGGCCCCATGGCTGCAGCTCCGTCGGTGGACAGCATCACCCCCTGGCTCGCTCAGATGTGCTGCTGCTCAGAGGCAGCTCGGGATTGAAAGAAAGTGTTTGTAGATGTCGAATGTTGCAAGAGTTCAGGAACCCAAGGCAAAACCAGTAAACTGTCGATTATAAGTTATGATTGTATCCCTCCCGAGTAGGTAACCCCACTGCTTGGGAGAGAGACAAGGCATTCTAGTCTTGGAAGCCCCCGGGGGCAGCCCTGCCCTGTCCCGTAGGGTTGCTGCGAGTGAGCATCACCTCAATGGCAGTGAGTTTGGTCCCCAGTTTTTATAATCCCCTCACCTTTGGTGCCTTCTTCCGCTCGTCACCCAAGCCCTCTTGTCAATCATGGGCTGGAAGAGAGGATGTGCGTTTGGTTGAACCAGAGAGCGCTATTTTTGTAGCAGGACTTCAAACCGCGCATCCTGCATCCTTGAACTCGTTTCCAGCGATGCTGGCCTTGAGGTTTGGCTGTTTCCCCTTTGACGTCATAGGCATTTTTTAAGAAAAACAAACCAAAACTGGCTCCCTGCCCCCCCCTCCCCCCGTAACCAGTCTGAGCTAAGAGCAGCCATCTGTGAAGAAAGCGTGAACCACTTGGCATTTCCTGCCCGAGAGCTGGCTCTGCAGGGCTGCCACACACCTGGTCTCCCAGTCAAACAAGCAGAGAGCCCTCCGCTTTTAGGGCTGCATCTGCCTCATGCCCTTGTCGCCTCTGGCTGAACTTGCCGGGACGCTGGCCTGGCTCCTGCCCTGGTGATTTCAGGCTGGTAGACCCAGGCCCATCCCTCTGGGCCTCCCATGAGCAGAGCAGAGGCCTTGGGTGACCCCAGGTTCCAGGTTGGTGGCCCTTTCTAAGCTTTTGGCCTGACACACTCTGCTGTGATCAGTGGGTTGTTCTGATGGTGACATTGACCTTGATTCTCCCTGTGCGCCCCCCCACCCCGAGACACACACACACACACAAATAACAGACGTGGTCCGAGCCGAGCTGAGCCATTGCTATATGAAGGAATTGCTTCTCGGAGACATAACTTGTAGCATTAGTGTCTTGGTCTTTCAAAGGGTCGGCAAGTGTAGTTATAAGAGTTAAGTCAGGTGACTAAGTAGTGACTGTCCAAGAAAACGATTACTTACTGGTACTTCACCCAGTGGCATTTGCAGGGGACACGGTTACTGCTGTTTAAGTCCTCTTTTTAAAAATTACATGTTAAAGACAGCCTCTTGAGGTGCTGTCCGCCTGGTAAATGTTGGCCAATGCTGATGGTTAATCAGGGGCCCCGCTTCTCAAACTGATGCCAGTGTCCTGGGAGGGGACCCAGCTCCAGCCGGCTCTTGGGTTTGACTGTGTGGAGTAATTCTTTTGGCAGGGCCTCAGGCCTTTCCTCATGCTGGCCCCCAATAACAGACAGAGCCTCACATTGCCCCTACCCCCCTTTATTTCCTCTGAAGGACCAATCTTTTTCATGGTACTTGTCCTGATTGTTTTCATAGTGTTCAAATCTGTATTTTTGTATGTAGAGGGAAATAACTTTCTCAACACTCATCATAATGAATATTGTATTGAATCTTCATGAAGGAGTTCTTGTTTAATAAACGGACAACGTAAAATGCTCGCGTCTCCCTCGTCTTCATGTGCTTCTGGCGTCAGAGTGAAGGAAGCCACAGCTCTGGGGATGGGAGGAAGGCTCAGGGGCCCGGTGGCAGCAGCCTGGTGGCTCTGCTGGGGCCGACAAGCTGGGTACTTCTTGGCTTCTGCACATTGGAGGTAAGGCGGGTGCAGGTTGGGGCAGCCCTGGTGGTGGTGTGTCCTGCTGGCCCGCTGTGCCCTCCTCTTCCCAATGACCTGGGCCCGGACCACCACCCTGGGGTTCCAGCTGCAGTGTTCCCAACGTGTGAGAGACCCCTGTGTGGCTGCCTGTGAGACCACCCCTCCAGGGCGTCGGCAGCCAAGGGGAGTGACCTGACTCAAAAGCAAACAAGGATCCAGACAATGTATGCTGAAAGCTTAGCCGTGTGCCCGGGCCAAGCTAAGTGTCCCCAGGCTACCGCCAACCTCTGCAGCCAGCCTCAAGGTAACTCCCCCCTATCCCCTACCCCATGCTCCCCCAGGGTGCTGAAGCATGGACCTGCCCCCCGCCCCACAGCCATCCCCCCGGGTGGAGTCGGCCTTCCTCACACACGCACCCCTAGCAGGTAGTCGGGTTTAATCCAATATGACGGTTCCAGGGTAAGAGATTCACATGCAAGAGTAGAACAAGGATACGTACAAATGCCCCAAACCTGGCCCAGAAAGCTGGCTCATTCACAGGGCTCCTGGGTCACAGGAGAAGCTATTGGTTAGCAAGCTGCTTGTGTGTGTATGTACACACACATATATAAAAACACCCAACTCTAAAGTTACAAAACCCCACGGAGGCACCGTACGCAGGATGACGTCCTTAGGTGGCAGGAGGCTCATCTCATCTCACAAGGTGGTCAGGAGACCTGCTCTGGGGTGTAGGAGGACATTGTCCTGGGTGTCCCAGACCCTCCCTCCAGCAGAGGGTCCGCAGCTGGGCCTGCCCAGCTGCCCACAGCACTGCCCACGGACTGCACCATTCGGTCCCCTTTGGCTTCTGGAGCAAGGAGCCCTGGTGGTGCTGCGGGTTAGGCATTGTCCACTCACCAAAAGGTCAGTGGTTCAAACCCACCAGAGACCAGTAAGGCTGGCTGCTCCTGGGAAATCTCATCTGGGAAATACTACGTCAGGGTCACGAGGAGCCAGCATGGCCTGGGAGGCAGGAAAGCTGGCCAGCTAGTTGATGAGCTTTTCTCAGATCGTCTTAGGCCCAAAGTATCCATCCCACCCAAAGATGGTGTGACCATTCCCAAGCAGAGGGTGGCGGCAGTTAGGGGCTCTGAGTCCCACAAGGTGGCTTTTCCAGAGGGAAGATGGGCTCCTGGAGGTCGGAAGACTCCTATATTGAGCGCCTGGTCAAAACAGGAGCACCGCCCGGAGGTGCTGATGGGGCCTGGTGGGTCAGCTGTGCTGTCTGCTTGCTTTCGCGGGGAAGACCAGTTATAAGCCTCCATCTGACCCGAGGCTGAGCACTGGCCGGGAACAGGCCTTGCTTCCTGTGGTGCTTTGGCAGTGAGGTCACGTGGTGGGAAGGTCGAAGCGGAGATTGGGCCGCCCTCGTGTGCAGACAGCCTGAGCCCCTCCAGGCCTTCTCTGCTGGACTTGAACATGTGGGAGGGCCCCCATCTGCCAGCATGTCCCGCTGCCACCACTGCTGGAAATGTCACAGTGTCCCCGGCCTCCCTGTCAGCCGGAGCGGGCAGGAAGGTAGGTGCCAGCGTCGGTGAGGCCCCCAGCTGGCTGGGCTTGCCAGGCACCGGCAGGCCATCAGTCCGAGTCCGAGTCTGAATTCTCTTCTGAAAAGAAAGCAGAGAGGAGGAAGCTGGGGGTGGGGGCTCTTCCAGGGCAGTGGTGCCCAGGAACCGTCTCTGGGGACAGAAACAGCCGGGCTGTTGGCAGAGGCCCTCGGCCCAGGCCTCTCCTATGGCAACAGCTTGGCGTGCGGGCAGCTGCTGGGCTGTGCCGAGTCCCGTGCCTGCCGGGACCCTTCACGTCAAGTGTATGGGGAGAAGCAGTTTGCTTCCACCACAGCCGGAAGCCCAGGGGTCCCTCAGAACCCCCCAGGTGGAGGTGTGTGCCCACAGCTTGCCTCTCAACCTCCCTTCTCCCCCTTCAGCTCAACCAAGGAGGCCTGTGTCCTGGGGACAGCCAGTGTCTAAAAGTGGAGCCTACATAGGGAAAACACCCCAACTCCCCCTTTCCGCCTTTTATTCTTCCAAGCCCGGCCCCACCTTTCTTTCGAAATAGTGACCAGAGACCATTTGCCGATGTCAAGGCGCTGCCTGTGAGGTCCGACTCGAGGGTCCCCAAAATCCCTGGACTGAGGATGACTCTGGGGACTCGGCCCCTCCCCGCACCAACGTCCGCATCTCTCTCCGGTGATCGCCTCTCTCCCCTTCCCGGGCCGCCCTGCTGGAGACCCGTCAGCCCTCATGCATCGCTGGCCCCGGGTGAGCTCAGGGCCGGGGGTTCCCCTGTTTGCTTGGAGAACCCCCAGACGCTGCCTCCTCCCCTCAGCCTCGTGTCAACGGCTCGCTGGCCGAGCTTTCGATATATTCGACCCAACCACATAGGCCAGGAGTAGTTTCCTGCCACCGAGACGGGGTTTGTCTGTGTACATACACAAGTCTCTGTGCGTGGGGGAACCCTCACGAGCTCACAGGCGTGGCCTTGGGGAGCTGGTCTAAAGGCTGCATGTCTGGGAGTCGCTGCCGACTCCTGGTCACCCCTCGTGCCAGCACAGCCATCCCCACCACTTTGGTAGGCTGTGACCTTAGACATCACCGAGTCTTCCTCCCGGCTTCTGGTCTGCAGCCGAGCATTGAACCATCGTGCCACCAGGCGCCCAGACAGCAGGGGTGGGAGTGCCCAAAGCTATGCAGAATGCCTGGGGAGAGTTTGCAGGCCAGCACAGTGTGAGCGTCGCTCCTGGGCAGCAGAGGGATGGACGGTTCAGGAACTACCTGCCCAGCAGGTGTCACTGCCTTGGGGGCACCTCCCCCTCACCTGAACTGGTGCCCGCTCTCTCGAAGCTGCCCTCTGCCCTGGCCCACTTCTTCGGGCACCCTTTTCCTGATCTCCCTGGGCACCCAGCCCTGAGTCACTCCACCAGCATCCAGCCAGGCTGGCACCTGTCACCACTGGCACCTCTGTCACCACTTGGCCATTTCTGCCCCTCCCCACCCCAAACCCCGGGAGGCTTCCCCTGGCACCTCTTTGGGCATCCACCCTACAGTGTACATAACCATTTATCAGCTTCTTCGTCTACCTCCTGCCCCACTGGGAGCGGCTGGAGGGCAGGTGGCCCGACCCTGGAGAGTCCCGGCAGGTGTCAGGCTCCTGGATGGGAGGCAAGGAGAGGGCTTGGGCTGGATAAGTCGGGCGCTGGTGATGACGACACACTCAAAGGTGGCGGAGGGGGTGGGTGCACAGGTCAGACAGGCTGCCAGGTTCTCTTGACAGGTCAGCCCCTGTTTTAGCTCCACAGGCCCTGCTCCTCCTACAACCTCAGGCAGGGCCGCTCTTGGTGGACACTCCCCCTGGTGATCTCACTCGGCAGGAGCCCCCAGCTATGGACCCCACAGACTCCAGACCAGCTGCTGCCCCTCCGGATCCCCCTTGGCAGAGCCCTCCCTGGGCTGGGCCAGCCCCCTGAGGCTGGGCCACCTTGGTGTGGCTGTGTGGTCAAGGGCAAAGGACCAACCACCCAGCATTCTGCTCTATTTTCCTTGAACTCGAGGGGGGCGTGCAGACAGGCATGGCTGACCTCCGTGTTGGTGAAGGGTGGCCTGAGGGGCCAGAATTCTGCACCCCTTAGACGGGAACTGGAAACCAGCCTGAGTTTGCCAGGGGCTGGGCAGGGGCTGCCAGTGTGGGCAAAGCTGGCTCCTGCTGGCCAGGGAACTGGAGCAGTGGGGACAGTGACTCCTGGGTCAGGTCTCACTCACCAGGGTTGGTAGGGAGCCCTGCACTAGGGGCTGCTGAGGCTTGCCCTTACAGGAAAGGCTGAGGCCCCGGGGAGCCTATGCACTCCACAGGGACTAGTTAATAATCAGCGACTCAGAAAAGGACCTGAGAGTCTGGTGGGGAAGAGGAAGCTCCTATCCCCCACCTTTCACTGGCCCCATGCCCCGAGGGAGGGAGGGCAAGGCCACACCAGCTACTCACCTTCTGCTTTGTCCCGGCCCTCCTGGGCCTCCTCCTCTGAGTCTCCTTGTTTGAGGAATTTGGCTACTTCGTTAAAGATCAGGTAGAAGTCAATCGCAAACACGATGGTGGCAAAGAAGCCAAATACCTGTGGGTACAGAGAGTGGATGGTGGGGACCCAGGTGGAGGGGGTGCTGGTAGCCCCTGGCCCAGATGGCTGGGAGTAAGGGGTTGGGGGGAGCCTGAGGGGTTGTCACACCAACTGCACAGCCCACGTCCCATCTGCATGGAGGCTGCTGGGCAGGCCCCCTCTGATGAGCGACAGGGGAGACAAGCCGTTTATTCGGCTTGGCGAACCTCCGAGCACCTGTCTGGTAGCAACTCTGCAAAAGCCACGGTGCGAATCGGAGATGAGGAAGGTGCTCCAGCCCGGCAAGAATGGCCCCAGTGGGGTCTACAGAGAGGCCCCAGGATGGATAAAGAGGCGGGGGCGGCTACTCACCCCAGCGGCCTTGGATGCCCCATCCGAGTATTTGGTGACGGCCGTGATGGAGATGGTGAAATAGATGAGGGCCGCAGTGACACAGCGCAGGAAGTCCTGGGGACGTAGGGGAGGCAGGGGCGAGGGGCTCAGATGGGCACTGAGGTGGCAAGAGCCCTGTCCCCAGAGTAGCGTGCGCACTGCCCGGCCACACAGCCAGCCCCAGCTCCATGTGCCCCACCTACACTCTCTACTCCCACCCTGCCCTTGGCCCAGCTGGGCTGTTGTACCCACTTCTGCCCGCCTGTGGTCCAGGCTGGAGCTGGACCTGGGATCTGATTCCCCAGCAGGAAGGAGAGGTAGGAACCCACCCCAGCCTCCTTTCAGGTTTGCCAGCCAGCGGGGCACTTGTAGCAGGTGGAATTTTGTGTCAAGGTTTCTGCTCATCCATCCCTCAATGGGACAGAGGCTGGTGCGGCTCTTGGGCAAGTAGGAGAGTCCCGGAGACCAGCGTTCAAGTCCACCTTTGCCGTTCCATCTCTGGGCCTTTCTCGGGGGATGGAACAAAGCCAGGGCTGTCGGGTGACTGCAGGCCTGTAAACCCTGCCAGTCCACAGTTAACCCGCCCAGCCCACGTGGAAATGGCTTGAATTCCTGTGGCCAAGGCTCATTCCTCCAAGGCTCCATTGGGAGCGCCCCTGCCACCTGGTGGCCAATGGCGAATTGGCTGCTTTTGGGTTCTGCTCTCATGGAAGATGGGAGGGGGAGAGGGTGGATGCTGGGGACATTGGAGGCCTTGTCCCTATGAACCAACTGCAGACAGCCCTCCAGCCTCCGGAAAGAGGCTCTGGGCTGAGAGAGCTCACAGTGCCCCCTGGCTCTTCCGTCTGGCCACTGGCTCAGGGGCAGGCAGCCCTCCCCTCCCTCTGGGCCCCAGTGCTCACCATCATGGGCCAGCACAAGCCCTGCCACTTGTCATTCAGCTGCTTGGCGTCGGCAAAGAGGAAGAAGAGAGCCAGCAGGAACTCCAGCAGGGGCGCCATGAGGAATGCAGGCGCCGAGGACGCCACGTAGCAGACGAAGACCACAAAAGAGAGACCCTAGGGTGGGGTGCGAGGCAGGAGTCAGACCGTGTGCAGGGACCCCTCACCCAGTGCCCTCGACACCAGGGCCTGCAGCCACTGAGGCACTGGCTGGGCCAGGGACAGCCTGCAAGGGTCTTCAGGAGTTGCAGCCAGTCTTGGGGTCCGAGGTGTTGGGCCGCTCACCCAAAGGTTGTTGGCAGCTCCTCAGGAGAAAAGCCTGGGAACCTGCTCCCATGGAGACTGCAGCCTAGACACACCTGTGCAGCAGGTCGACTGTGTCCCGAGGTCAAGACGAGTTCAAAACACCTCCACGGCGCTCAGCAACAGCCCTTCTCGACCTGGCCTTGAACCCAGACCCCGCTATTCCAGTTCTCTGCAATGCTCCCCCATTCCTCCCCCAGCAGGCGGCAGAGCCCACCAGCCACGTGGGAGCCGCTCTCAAAAGCAGAGCCCGACGCCCAAGATTTGTGCTTTTCATGGGTGTAGATTTCACCTTCTTTTTGAACTGTGACTTAATGGAACTCGAGTGGCACCGCCAGGTAAGCGTTGGATCGCTTACTGCAAAGTCAGCAGTTCAAACCCACCGGCCGGACCGCAGGAGAAAGCGGGAACTTCTGCGCTCCTAAGGGTTGACAGTCTCGGGAGCCCTATCGGGAGGATTGCTATGAGTTGGAATCGACTTGATGGCAGTGGATTGTGATTTAAAAAACAAAACAAAACAACTAAAGCAGTTACCCTGTATACTCAAATATAATACCGACCTGGATATCAGCCAAGGCACCTAGTTTTACCATAAAAACTGCATTAAAAATGTGCTGAAAAAGCTCAGCTTATACATGAGTGCATACAGTTAGTTAAAAGGTCTTGATATGTCTGCAACTTCCTTCAAATGCATCAAAAGATAACAGATGGATGGACTGATGGATACATAGGGTGCTGTGATAAAGCAAATGGGACAATATTAACACAGGGATCTCTGGTTGTACAAACTGAGCTTTGTTGGCTCACCGTACCATTGTCAGTTCAAGGCCACCCTGTGGTGTCTCCGTGATCCACTTCTGAAAACCTAATGGAGTGCAGTTGTCCTCTGATAGACTTGGGGTCACCATGTGCCAGGATGAAAGTTTAACAGCGCCAGCCTGTTAACATTAACAATTTTCATACTAAGAGGTAAAAACAGCCAGGAGATGATATGCTGCTGGGCCTGCAGGGGGCGCTGCCCTTTGAGACAGGAATTCCATGGCTGGGAATTTACTCCAGGAGAATAACTCACAAGGGGCAGGAGGAATTCCAAGGACCAGCCTGGCCCTGCAGCCTTGTCCACAGCTCGAGGGAGGTGCAAGCAGCTGGCACTAGCGGCTGCCGAGGTCCCCGGTGGTAGCTCCTTGGTCCTTACAACTGTCCACGCACCAGGTGCTGCCCCAGCCTCATCTCACAGCTACGCAGACTGAAGTCTAGTGAACTGAGGGCATTGCTCAGTGCCGCGGAAGAGTGCCACCGAAATGTGGATTCAGGGCTAGCCAACCCAACGCAACACTGCCATGGGGGTGCTGGGGAGGTCTGCATCTTTGTGGCTTCTGCCACTGTGGCTGGGCTACTCTTAAGTGGAAGCGACCTCAGCTCAGGGGCCCCTGGGGACACTCTGATGTCCCACAGGAAGCCCTGGGGCAGCTTTAGGCAAATGAGCTGTGGGAATACCAGGGCAACCCTAGCTTTCCCACTCCCCTCCCCACCCCCATCCTGAACATGACCGTGGGGACAGCTGGGCCCTCCTGGGACTGAGTTCAGATGCCTTTGAGAAATGTCCCCAAGTACCCATATCCAGTTAACATTTTAACTTGTGGTATGGCACAAGTGTATGTTCACTTTCAATTTCTTTTCCCCCCTGCAAGGTAGTGGGTTTTCCTCCCCTGTATGGATCATGTGTTTCAGTTCCACACTCTGGCTCTCCAGCCGGCACCCAGTGGACCAGCTTCAACTAGTCAAAGGGGCAGGGGCAACCTCTGGCCTCGAGTTGAACCCAAGAGGGCAGTGAACACTCGGGCACGGGACTCGAACCTGAGGAGCTAGCAGCTGCGCGGCGGCACATGCAAACCATCCTGTAACAAGTGGAGACAGTCTACTTAGAAGCCTTCACTTTGGACTCCCCTTGTGAACACCTGTTGAGTGTGAATCTTGTTACCATAACCGCACCTGTGTAGACTCACTTGCCGGAATGCTCCATCTCTGTTTATGAATAAACAATGTCCTTCCTGCCTCAACTCCCTCATAAAACTCAAACGCACCACCGTCGAGTTGATGTCCACTCGGACCCTATAGGGTAGGGCAGAACTGCCCCCCTGTGAGGATCCCAGACTGTCATCCTACAGGAGTAAAGAACCCTGTCTTTCCTCCAAACTCCCTTATAAACCTGTCCTTTCCCACTGCGTGGCCTGCGTTGTCCGAGCGCCCCTGCCACGCCTCCGCCTGCAAGGGACTCTCTTTCCAGTAAATCTTTTTGCTTGGCCTGTAATGTCAGCTCGGCTTACTGGGCAGGGGAAGAAACCCATCTGCAGCAGGGCAAATGGGAACGGGGGTGGGGGTGGGGGGGGCGCGACCAGGGCTGCTAGCACCTCCCAGGAAGGCAAGGCTGTGGGACCCTCACACATCCGGTACCCAGTCCCAGCACGACTTCCTGTACCGAGGGCTGTTCCCATGCCCCTCCCCTTCCTGTCCCCTCACCCCCACCAGCCTACTTTTGGAGATCCCCTTCTGTATTCCCATTTCCTCCTTCTCTGATTCCTGCCGGCCACTCCACTCCCTCTTCCTGCCAGTGAATGTGGGGCTGGGGGCAGGGATGTGTGTGACTCGTGCTCCCTCACTTATCTTCCTCATCCCCTTAGACCTAGACCCCTACCCCCACCAACTAGATCTGCTCTGTCCCTCTCTCCACCCTTGAGGTGGTCATGGGAGCCTCGGGGTCCCCTCTGTGGACAGTGGATTGGAGACATCAGCCCAGCCGGGTGGGTTTGCTGGTGCTCAGGCTGAGCCGCACAGGGAGGTGCAGACCAAAGGTTAAGGGCAGGTCTTCACGGGGCGCCCATCAGGCTCATCCTCGCCCACCTGTCCCCGCAAGGCCCGGCCTGGACTTCCGGCACCCCAGCAGGCCCAGCGCCCCCTCCCACCGGCGGCAGTGCGGGAGTTTGGGGAGCCGAGGGAGGACAAAGGCGGCCGGAGGGTCGGGTGGGGGTGAGTGGGGAGGAAGGAGCTCAGTGGGTGCGGCGAGCGGGGAAGGAGTGGGGGATGAAGTCACCCACTGAGGCCGGCTCCCACCCCTTCGGCCGCGGCTGCGGGGCGGCCCCGGCCTCACCCAATCCCGGGGGTCCCCTTCCCACCT